CCTAACAGAGGCAGGTCGATTTTGATAAATTGTTATGAAGTAACTCAAATTATGTAAGTAGTACCGTAGTTGATAGATCTTTTCTGATATACATATAATTTATAGAAAAAAATAAGTTTAAATTATCCCCCAAAATATAGGTCTATTGATTATTTTGGTACATTTGGACATTTAATAAATAATATTTTAGTACTTTAGGAATTATTCGAATTATTTGAAAAGATCTATTCATGTTATCAAATTATCAGATCGTTTTATAAATCTTTTTAATAAAGTAAATGTGATCAACTGACCGTATCTAGGAGGCTAATCAAGCTTAAAATATTCGTTGCATTTTCTTTCCAAAACAATTCTTAATTCTTTAAATTTCTCTGTAATTTTCTTTTCTCGACTGAAATTAAAAATGAAACTTTTATATACAAAATTTAATCAAAAAAAGTAAAGTAGAATTAAATTTTGATGATGACATTTTTTTAAATTCACCGATTTAATATTTTAATCCAAATGCCATTTGCTTCTTTATATTAATGGATTTACATATCACTAAGTTGCTTTGTAAAGAAATCTTCTAGTTGGTGTTGCAAATTTGGTATGGAAAATTATACGATTTTGAAATTTAACTGAATATGTCTTCTCGAGATTTAAATTTTACTTGGTTACAGATATCTCCTTTTTCTCTTATAGTATTTTAGCGTAATCTGATCCTAAAATAAACTTTCTCCATTCACCCTTCATTCAAATTCTTAATAATTACTTCTGGCTAAGTATAAAATACTTCAAAATCTCTAATCTTACTCTATTCTGAAGGTATATGAGTATTAATATTCAGTTATAATATTGGATCATGATGATTTTTTATTAATATTTCTATAAAATAATTTTTACTAACAGTTTATTTATCATATAAATAGTCTACTATTATAATATATTAATCTACTTTAAAAAACCTTATTAATATATCTTAATGAGGAGGTAGTTAAGTATAATATTTAATTTATGAAAATAGCAAAAATTAGCAACCTCCACAGGCAAAGTAATTATAAAATTATGATTAAACAGTCCATCCATCGGAAGATGTGAAATATTTCTAATTAAATGAATATTAATGTAGTTTCCATTATAAACAAAATGCATGAATGCATCCATCACATTCATACTGACATTTAATGATACTTAATTTTAATGATATTAATCCTCCATAATTCTATTTAATATATATCCATCCAGTTCTTCTATTGTGTTAAAGAGTAATAGAAATAGTAAGTAAATATTCCACGTGTGAATCACCACATATGGAAGCTAAAGATGATTTCACAGATCCATAACTTTGTTACATAAAGTCTATTTCAATATAAGGTTGATTATAATTATCAATACTTTTGTAATTAGAATAATAAATACCTTAGAAATTGTGCATCCACTATAAAATGAGAATGAGGTTCTAGATCTAAAAAGATCCTGCTAATTTCATAATAGTGAGTAGTTGACCCAAAATATCGAATGCCTCCACAAGTATTCAAATAAGAATAACCTTACCAATTTCCCCATCCTAATATAAAAAATAAATTATCAGAAATTACCATCAATATTGTTAGAATTAGCATTAAATTCATAAATCACAGTTTGATGAGTTGTAGTAATTATAATCATGAGCATTATCATTATTAATTAATATCTATATTAAATATTGTATTTTAATATACTTAAGCACATAATTTAATATTAAAATCAACTTAACTATTTAACTAATAACAATAAATATACTCATTCATAATTAAAATTTGTTCATCTCTTCAATTTATCTGATAATTTTTATTCAACATTTTTTAAGATTTCAAATAATATTTTCTTACAACCACAACTTTTCATTGTTTTTAAGTTTCAAATTAAAATTTCTTTACAGAAAGATCCGTTTAGAAAAAAATGGGCATTTTGTAAATCTGATTGGATGAACTATAATTATTTTTTGCTGATTATTTTTTATATATGAACATTCAAAGTTTTAAATTATCTCCTTTTCCTTCAATCAATTATATAAGTTAGTGGACATAATTTAACTTTTGAGATTTAAACCTAACAGAGGCAGGTCGATTT